ATCACATGATTAACCGTTTATTAGATAATGATAATTATGATCATGTAATCGTATTAAAAGATTTTATGATATCATTCCATTATTACCCTTTTAATTTTAATATTTTCTAAATCTTTTTAAATTTCAATTTTAGTTTTAAAAACCTTTTAATTTTATTTTTTATCACAATATGTGGTTATTGGGTTGTTCTCGCATTCTCGTAAATCACAGGGGTTCTCGTTTGAACCCTTCCCTATATATATATATATGAACCATTGTTTCAAATACGAACAAAAATTGACATATATATGAACTTGGACTGAATAGCATTTATAAACACAATATGAACATAATAAGAATAATTGTTACACGAAAGGAAATAAATAAATAAAACATGTATGAACACAATATGAACAGCTTGTGAACAATAGTTCCTTCATTATGAATACATTCAAGAGCGCACCAATGGTGAGATATACAGCTAATGTTCATATGAACACAATATAAACACTTGTGAACAATAGTTCCTTCATTATGAACACATTCAGGAGCGAATCAATGTCGAGAAATGCAGCTAGTGTACATATGAAACAATATGAACAGCTTGTGAACAATAGTTCCTTCATTATGAACACATTCATGAACGAGCTAATGTTGAGATATGCAGCTAGTGTACATATGAACACTTGTGAACAATAGTTCCTTCATCATGAACAATGGGTTTATCCATAATAGCTTGAACAATACCGAAAACTTTACTACCGGGTTTCTTCTACCAATCACAAATTCAAAAACATTATGGATAGAAAAATCAATATTATAAATACAAAATCAATAATAAATTAACAAAAATTATAAATTCAAGATTAGATGCCTTGATTCATATCCCTACTAGAACATATATGAACACACCTGAACGTATATGAACACTAGTTGCAGTCAGGTCAAACATCACAAGCAGCTGATGGAGCCGAATGGTTATCAGAATTGGATTGCATAACAAATTAAGTTGACGATGAACTCATTCCATTTGAATATATGAATTGGGCTCGTAGTAATAATTAAAGAAAAAGCTACCAACACAATATGAGCTATATAAAACACAAAAACATCGTAATCAACATAATTTCGATTAAAACGAATACAATAACATATTAATTCATTACCTATACAAATGCTTTGATTATTGTCTTCACTCCAGGAACTCGAAATCCGGTTGTCATCGTAAACCATTTTAACTTTCTCATTGTTATCGAGTTGTTTTTCAATGGGTTTTATTCATATTAGTTTGAACGATATCGAAAACTTTACTATTGGTTCTTCTTTAACAATAACAAATTCATGAACATTATAGATAGATAAATCAATACTATAGAAAAACAAGATCAATAGTAAATCAACAACAATTATGAGATTTTTTGATTTTGTAACTCTCAATTAATGATATGAAAGTTACTTACAAACTAAAATTACATATTTACCCTTGTCATTAAATTATGAGATAGATATAAACCTAGATAAAAGATGGATTTTCATTGATTGAGTTTGGTTAACAAAGTTAACATAATAATCTTGGTTAACATTTGAACCAAGCTCTATATATGTATATATATATAAATTAAAATATATATACAATCGGGCCGGGCCGGGCTGGTGATCACCGTCCTCGCCTCCGTCCCCATTAAAATCCTCGAATTTGTCCCCGATCTCCATCCCGACCCGAAAGTTTCGGTTTTCGATTTTCACCATTGGTTTCGGGTTGTTTTGCCATCCCTACTCCAATTGCACATACAAAAATTCCTAAATTGTCCATCATTTTACATAAATACTTGAATTGGAAAATACCTATTACTTTAACGATGACTTGCCATTGTTTTCTAAAACTTGACTTTGACGTTCATATCATAACACCATGAAAGCATTAGGTGCATTATTGATCATGTAATATTTATTTTATTCCACTGCCTAATAAAAGAGACGAATTATTTGTATATTAAATTACAAATTTGGTTCTTATAATTTTAAATTCACAAGGTTTATAAAAACGTCTAAATTTGGTCCTAATTCTAACTACCGTTAATGTTTTTTATTAAACAATCAAAATTTATTTTATGATTTTAATTCCTATAACTTTTAATCCCACACAAAAAAAGGTCATTTTATTTTCACCAAAACAAAACTATGTTTGCATTTGCAACAAAAAGCACCTGAAATGATTTGATGGGAAAATGCATGGATAGAAACATAATTTTGAGGAAGCTGTGTTAAATGAATAGCAAAAGGCATATATAAATACCACGAAAGCACAAGGAACTACGTTCTTTTTCTTGTTGAATGATCTACATGCAAGATGGATGGGTATGTGAAAATGCAATACAACAAGAATGCAAGTTTATCGATGCTTCAGGTTGATATGGGAAAACTCAGGAATGTCCCTTTTACAATCGAGGGACCTTCGGAGCAGAACGCAACTATACGCCTTGTGCCTTGAGTACAAGCCGATTTCCAGGGGTGGTTTCTTCATTTTTGTTATATTATCGTTTCCTTGTTTTACTAAGATTGCTAGTATTTAAATAGAATATGATGGCTTGAATTAGGCATTACGTTTGATTAATAAAATTTAGAGTTCTCTCTATTTTATTCCGGTTCATCTTTCGGTGTTCCGTCAAATCAACAAAACCGTGAGTTTTCCCACTCATGTTGCAGCATCAGTTTACAAGTACATCCCATGTTTGTAGAAAACCGAACTGGGTTCTAAGAACTTACCTCGGAAACTTGCCGTTTTTTTCTCATATGGAATATGCCACATGCAGGACGAGACGCTCATGAACATTTGGTATGGGAAGACAACGGAGTTTAAACTTGTAAAACAACACATTACCAAAAAGTATGCAGCATGCTACTAGAAAAAACAAACCAAACTAAAAAGGTTAAAAACCAAACCTAAAATGAAAATGGGAAAATGCAATGGTTCTCCAATACATTTAAAATGTGAATTACAATGTGACATTGTTGTTTGTTCTATATCCTTCTACCTTTTCACAATGGATCCCATTTTCCAAACGTGAGGATAAATAGAGACAAAATTACCATGAACAAATGGAAGTCTTTCAGTTTTGTTTTTCACTTTCTGGTATCGTAATGTATATTACAGGTAATAAAAAGAACGATGAGAAAACATGTACCATATGTTATGAAACAACTGTAGAATTTGATGCAATGATGTGAAGTATTTCTTTGTGTAAGCTGTTATTCGACACAAGAATGCCGCCTGGAGGGAATAGCGCCCTCCGCTCAACTTCATCTGCTGCAAGATCAAGCTGATCTCCATTCCAGTCAGTAACCTGTCACGATGGTCCAAAATATAACCTCATGGAAAAAAATTATATATATAACATGCTTCTAGAGTAGAGATATATGGTCTGCATTTTGTTCAAATACAGGTACCAAAACAGAGAAAATGGAAATTTAATTGCGTTTAGTACAATTACTGATGGATGCTTTCATGATACGATGAAAATCTTTATCCTAGTGTAGCTCATTTCATTTTAGATTTGTATTTTATGAATCAAATATACTCAAATATTTACATCCTAAGAATTGATGTAAGATTGATAAATTAGAAGATTCACGAAGGATGAAGATGACAATGGTGCCAAAGCTTATTTATACCCCCCTCCCCCACCTTCCCTCAAATTCATGATGGTGAAGAAGGTGCCAAACTGAGTTTGGAAACAAGAGTGTGAAATCGTGAGCTTTGGTGAAGACATCAGGCGGTTGATCAAGAGTAGAAATAGAGATAAAGATGATTGTCTTCTCAGTAACATGCTGACGTACAAAATGATAATCAATCTCGATGTGTTTTGTGTGTTCGTAAACACATTTGTGAACAATCTGAATAACATTGTGGTTTTCACAATAGAGGACAGTCGAAGAGATATGACGAGCACCCATATCAAATAGCCATCGCAGCCAAACAAGCTCCTGAGTACAATATGGAGTCCATGTAGAAGGAAAATGCTACTAGTAGATGAAGAATGATACACGTTCTCATAGTTCGAGTAAACAGACCAGAGCCATAATGGGAAAAGAATAGTAGTATCATATTTCTTTAAGGAGACCATATAATGCTTTCCTCAATCAAAAGACGAAACCTATGAGATGAGGACCATCAGGAGAAGGCTTCATTTAGACCTCCTTAGATAAATCACCACTAAAAAAAAGACGTTTTTGATGACCATCTGAGATAATTGCCACTTGTGGGCAGCTGCAATGGCAGCAGGAAGACGGCAGACTGATGTAACCCTAGCAATTGGAGCAAAACTCTCTTTGTAGTCGACGTCGTACTCTTGATTACAACCCTGGGCTACTAGTTGGGAATTCTATCCATCATTGGTTTGGTCTTGACTTTGTAGACCCGTTTAGAACGTATAGGAGACTTGCCTTCTGGAAGAGGGATGTCCCAAGTCTCAGCTTTATCCAAGGCCTAGAGCTCCTCGGACATAGCTTTCTGCCATAGAGGGTCAAACAAGCTTCTTACCTGATCCAATGGACGTTGTTCTAGTGATTAAGAGATGCTAGGACCCTCAGAATCAGTAGGTGTCTCAAGAGGAGGCATTGGAGAAGACTCAGATGTCGATTCAAATGCAATCATAGGCTGAAGAGGTGACTCGATAGGGATAGTATCAAGTGAGAATGAGGTAGATACAGGAGGGGTAGAAGAATTGGAGGTAGAGGATAATGACATATAGACTCGGGTGGTGTGGAAGGAGTGGGGGTGGGAGATAATTGTTGAGATGCATCAATGAAGAAGGGAAAGATAGATGGAAGATCAACTTGGAATTTTGATAGACTTAACATTTTGTGTTCACAAAAGTAGACTTGGGGTGTGTTTGGTACGTGGAACAGGGTGGGACAGGACAGGATAGGACACACTTGTCCCACGTTTGGTGTGTTTTTAAGTGGAACTAACTAGAACTAACTTGGACACAGATGGGACACGGGTGTTCACCCTTACCCCATGGAACTAAGTGGAACAAGCTTCTTTTTACTAATCTACCCTCCTCACTCATCGTGCGTCCTTCCCTGTCGCTCCTTCATGCTGAGACTGCCTCCATCGCCTCCATGGCACCGACCCTCAATCGGCGGCGACACCCTCCATCGCACCCTCCATCGCACTCTAGGTTCCCCTCCATGCTCAGACTGCCTCCATCGCACATCCTCCATCGCACCGACCCTCAATTGGCGACGGGAGTTCTAGTCCATACACACAGTCCGACGGCCTCCATCGCACACCCTCCATCGCACCGACCCTCAATCGGCGACAGGAGTTCTAGTCCATACACACAGTCCGATGGCCTCCATCGCTATACCTTCTCCTTCATCAGGTACACGATTGCCCTAACCTTCTCCTTCTCATCGCTATGTTTGAATCGATTTAGGGTTTGCTAGGTTTGAATCGATTTAGGGTTTGCTTTGCAAAAATCGGCTGTTTAATCAAGCTCTAGCAATTCAAATTGCAATGGGATTGTTTGTAGTGTATATGGATATCTGATCAAGATCATATGGAAACAATACATTCTGCAGTAAGATTGATTTTGGTGAAAAAACACTAAACAGCTCACTGAGGGTAAATTGGTCATTTTAACCAGTTCTGTCCTGTCTTACCAAACGCTGAACAGCTGTCCTGTCCCGTCCTGTTTGCGCACCAAACGCACCCTTGATGAGATATGCAAAAATGTTCAAAAATAGGATCCTAACAATGATACCCCCTTTGTTGAATCCCATACCCTAAGAAGCAACAAAGCCGAGCATCAGGTTTGGGTTTATTAGTTTAGAACGTTCTTGTGGTTATGTGAGGATGCATACACGACCTCAAACTTTGAAAAGATCGTAACCCAAGAGCACATCATACAAGGTTTCATAGAGAAATTGTTATAACGAATAGATGTGGTACTCCATCAAGCCACCTTCAATGGAGGTTAGATGGTGCCCCCAAGAACGAGGACGAAAGAGTGTGCAAGTCCCTGGGGGTGCTAGACGCTAGCTCTGATGCCATTTTAGAATATGTGAAATTCCTTGATTCTATCTCCAAAAGAGCCCTAACGGGGAGGATGGAGGTTAAATGGATTGTGTCTAGCTGATGTGAGACTCCAAAACATCTAAAAGATAACCCTGGTGCGGGTTGTGGCTTCGTGAGTGACATGCTGCAAGCCATCCTCTTTAACATAATTCTATTTATAGAACTAACAAAATTGGATCTATAATTACCAAAGAAAATCACATTTTTGGATATGATGCATGGGCCAATTTTGGAAATAGGGCCATGGCTTTGTTATGCATATGGCATGGTACACAATATACATCCTATGAATGATTGAAAGGCTGTGCGATTCCAGCGATTGGCGAAAACTTTAACTTTGTAAGTATCATTGAGCACAAAGCTATGTGATTTCTATGTGTAAAAGGATGTGATTACCTTTCCTCCCGCTTCCTGCACACATATCACTCCAACAGCATGATCCCAGACCTATGTTCCCCACAGAAAGAAGACAACTTCAATTCTTTTGATCTTCTCTCTTTGATAAAAGAAGCAATTCATTAATGTCATTTAACACCCAGTATTTTCATTTTGTCTTGCATGGTTTGAGAAAAAATGTGGGCATGAATGTGGATCCCCTTTACTTGATGTGAAGAGAATTGAGATGGGACGCAAAAAGAGAATAGAGGTCAATTGAGAAACTAAAAGCATGAAAGTTAGTGTTATAAACTTGTACCTTGATCACTCTGTCATCCCTTGCACGTTGAATGAAAACAGATGCCCTCCCAGAAGCTACCATCAGATACTTGCATAAGCTGAATACAAAGTAGCAAATGTCTCACTCGTAATACTTATATTAAGAAATCAAGATCCTAATTGACCATCACACACGAGCAATTTGGGGGTAGAGTTGCAATAATCTATAAGACAACAACACAAATTTGGTTTGTATCAGTAACATATAAATAGACATGACAAACTACACATTGCTTGCACTAGTGGACGGTTTTCGTGAAACTTTCTACTCATTGCAGCAATTACATGATTGACACATGGAAATGGTAATGAAATGTTTAAGGAGGGGGTTGGTGATGACAATAATCATCGGATGTCCACAATAACAGACATCAACAAATTTGAAACTTGAAATTCACAGTACCTAAGAAAAGGGTCTAAAATGGAAAAGAAATTTATAGTTGAGCAACAATCAACAACAGCCATGAAAAAGTTGTATAGCATGCTGAATGGGATGCCCATGCTATTAAGATAAAAGCTTTATAGAACGGATGATACAGACATGCATCCGTTAAAACAATTATCAATCACTACAATATATAGAGAACAAAATGTGACGATGAGATATGCAACAAGTTACAATGAAATAACAGAGAAAATGAAAAGAAGTAAACACAGCACAACTTTCACATATGACAAAAAATGTTACTTGTAAACAAAGATAGTCTAGTAGATGAATGCATTACACACACAGGCATGCACGCAGGGACGCACGCACAGACGACGCACAAACGCACCCACCTACGCACTCGCATGCGCCCGCGCATGCACACACACATACATACATACATAATGTGTGTATGTACATACATGCTACTGAAAATTGCATAATAAGATTACTTCATGATGCTCAATAATCTATATAACATAACATAGAGAGGACAAAGTACAATGTCATATAACTTGGAGCATAGCTGGCAAACTGGAAGGGTTGGATGATGGCCAAAAAGGGATACATTTTTAGGACCTGTTGAAATGGTTGGGGAAGGTTGACCCATCAACATTTTTCCTTTTAATTTCATAAATGTTTAATATATTAAATATAATTACAAAAACCATTATTAAAAATCATGATCCAATTTTTTTAATAAAACAATTGAGGAGGATGTAAACACTTTGAGTATGTTTTGGGTGACTTTTCCACCGCTTGACCCGTTCCCTTTATAGCTATTTTTTTACCATTTGATCCATTGGCAACAAAATATAACCAAATTGACATGTTTTTGCATAAATTAGTTAAAGTTACCCCTTCTATCTTATAGAGTAAATAAATAGAAATCTGGCTGGTGCTTGTGTCATAGATGAAATAAGTTAATACTTCCAAAACTGCATGAAAGAAAAATCATCCATCTTATGCCGACCAAGTGCTAAGAAATATAACCATTATTTTTAGCATGAGAAACCAAACCGTAAAAGCAAATAAGTACAAGAGATGTAAACAAACCTTCCACAACATGTGGGCAAAAGAAGAACTTCCTTAACCCCAACATTGTCCACATTGGTTGTTGAACCAAATGAAGATGATAGTGGCAATGACTCCCATGTTTGGCTCTCTGAAATGCAAAAGCGTCCTTTATGGACCAAAGTATAGCCATCAACTAAGCACTTGATCCAATTCATGCCGTTCTGTAGATCAGATATTCCCTTGGACCATGTTCCACAACCAACATGTGCAACCATAATCATTCCTGATATCTTAGAAGTGGATTTGTTTGACTTATCTACCCGCCAATTAGGACACCCCATAACGCCTAAAACAATATGTCCTTCAACCACAAGAGCCAAACCTACCTGTAATGTTGAGGGCACTATGTCAGCCATATAGGGCCTTGAAAAAAATTCAACATATAGATAAAAGAAAAAAACAATTCTATAAAATTTTGTGTGAATTGTTTTATTTACATTTTATTTATTTACAGAACCTTATAAAAAATACTTCATAAATCAAATCATGTATCTAATCTTTTTATTTTAAAATTCAACTAGCAATATTTGTTCCCTCCACATTGACTTCAGATAGACATCAAATATTTGTTACCAAAGGGCCTTTGGCCTAGCGGTATCGTAGCCCTTGGCCTTCTAGGAGGTCAGGGGTTCAAACCTCACCATAGGTGAGGAGGGCGTGTGAGTTTATTTGTTGCATTTGCTGTATATAAATATTATATACTTCAAAAATATATATATATATATATATATATATATATAGCTGAAGATACCCAAATCTTTTAACTCAACGTGAGATTGCCTAGGCCAATAGTAATATAAGCACGATCTAGGCCAATAGTAATACAAACATGCGTATAAACTGATTCTCAATCAGAAAAAGAAAATGTAGGATTTCTAGTTTTCTGCAGCAAAAAACAATTCTGGTCAAACGAAGAGAGTGTGACATCTTTTCCCACATGGCCACATTGGTTGCGAACATAACCTAAGGGCCCCTTATAAGTCCTAGTAGATAATAATAATGTCTGACCATGATTTTAGTTGATTTAGAGGTTATCTAGGCTAGGGCGGTACAAATGATATCATTTTGTTTGAATTTATGTGTAGACGGACGTGAGGAATTTATGCCGGGAAGTTTTGTCGATGTCCCACATCCTTTATGTGAATTGTGGGTCCCCTATAAATCCTTAGTAGCCGACTCTTAATAATCTCACACCAATGTTTCAGTTGATTTGGAGGCTTTTGAGCTAGGGTGCTACAAAACATTGATGATATTAAAGTAGTTAGGATATGCATCAACAAAATCAATCAGCTGGACCAAATTACCATCCAACCCACATTTATACTTCCACATGGATGACAAACAAGTACTTACCAAGAGAGAATCATGTGAGCTGATAGATATGTTAGAAATACCAAATGCTTACAAAAGATTTGCAGAAAATTACAGAGTATTAGTGCGGTCAAGCACTAAGATATGATTTTCCCCCTTTCTATGCACCTGATGAAATTCATAAACTTGAATTCAGAAGGCTTCCTAATTGAACTATTTATGGAGGCAAGCATACGGTTAACTTGATGCTGACAAACTGAGGTTGTGATAATGTCATCATCATGTATGTATGAATATGCATTAGAGGCGATTTAATGAACTTCCAAGCAAGATGAAGAAGACCTGCTATAGGACCAAAACGTGCCTACCTTAGAGCTTCTAGCAGGCAGATATTGGGGTTGCAACATTATTTCTCTCTCAATTATGTCTTAATAGCATTTCCGAAATAGAAAAGAGTGATTCTTGATTGGGACGATCGCCCAATCTCATCAGCAAGGATCATCTCATCAGCAATCATATATATTATAGTAGTTTAATCTTTCTTCATGTTATCTTTATCTTATTTATTGTTAATCTTTATCTTACTAGGGTTATCCTTATCTTAATACCCTTCCTTGTACCTATTTTGAAGGGGTTTCTTCCCTCAATGGTTCCCCTCATCCAAAAATATAACTGATCGGTGATTCTAATTACAGTTCTCTTTACAAAAAAAAAATCACAAATTACAGTTCAATTATGTGTAGTTGGTTAGAGTTGAGAGGAACTGATGCTGCTTTACAAGGAAACTATAACACAGGTTTCTACATTGTATATAGCATAAATGTAGATTCATGAAACAAATCAAGAGTTGCTTTTTTCATGACATGTGAATCGTGAATCAAAACAAATTATAGATCCTTATGGTGCGCATAAATCTAAACATAAAATGATAAAATGTAATGGTTCTGATGCTTAAACCAAGATGGCAAGATGTACATGCAGTATCATGAGAAAATTGTCTTGTTTCGTTATCCCTCTTATGAAATTACCAACTGCCAACAAAAGGACTTCTTTTATTGATGTGGCTACCAATAAGTTACGGATCAATAAGCTCTACACAATCCACAAAAACACAGCATACATATTTTGAAATGACTTGAAACACATCTATAGAATCATACAATACATGAAGGCGGTTTTCTGAATACTTGTGTGATTGACACGAGATTCCATTTTGTTAATGGGATCGATATCCTCTATTTTATGAATCAAACCAAATGTACAGTCCCGGAACAGTTAGCTACCTGTCCAATTTTGGTCACAGAAATACAACGAGAAGATGTAAGGAATTCTAAAATTTATGTAGAATCCATGATCAATGAACTTCAGCCTTCAGCTAAGCAGATAGTACGCATTTCTAGCATTCAATCTGAAGATAGTACGCATTTCTAGCATTCAATCTGAAGAGGCTGTTTGGCAATTGCTGAATGATTTGGTGCAGAATGATTAAGTGGTCATAGTGATTAAGAGGCTCTCATGATACAGTGCAAAATGAAATATAATTGTTTGGTAATTGTGTACAATGAAATTAGGGCTCTTAATGGTTAAGGGAGATCCAGGATACAAAATCATTCAGAGGGTTTTAGAACCATCAAGAGGCAGACTTTTTTTTTTTTTGCCAAACAAGATTCACCTCTTAACGGTTCAGAGGTTGCCTCTTAATGGAACTGTTAAGAGGTAAACAAACAACCCAGAAAACTTACCACATATAAGGCCTCACTACCCTTGAGAAATCCCCGTGTGCCATCAATAGGGTCCAAAACCTGCATAAGGCCCATTCATCTAATCAAATGATTGGATGTTTTAGCTAAAAATATGATACAAAACTAGAAGAATAAGAAGATATCAATAAGAGGGCATAGAAACACTGAAATATGTATTTTGGCATGAAAATGAATAACATGATGTCAATCATGTTCAATACCACATTATTATGGATTTATGGCTATCACAGGACCTCAGGGTGCTTCAAATCAACATGATACCACTACCACACGAGTACTCTAGTATACTCCATTTCCTCTCTGTAGGTTTTGGGGTATGTGGGGGTTCTAGCAAAACCGTTATGTTTTCTTCTTTCTTCTTTCTTCTTTCTTCTTTCACATATTTTTCTCCTCGTTACAGAAAAAGATCAACCCCCCCCCCAACACAAACACACAAGGATTTTACATATTACATTACAGTGTTGATGAAAATATGCTAGTCAAAATATTGAACAAACGCACCCAATATGTGGCTGGGTTAGGTCCAAATTTCCCACCTCTGTCAATAGCTTCAAGCACATCAGTTTGTGTTAATGCTTTATCTTGGGAGCTTGCTTTATCGGTAACCACATTTACAACTGAGTTTACTAGATTATTTGAACGCAAGAATGCTGAATCCTCCTCAGCCACCAATGGAATGGAAGGAAATAGCTTTCCGAGCTCTGTCATAATAATAAAATAAGATACACAATGAAATTAAGTGAACAGAACACTTGATATCCAAAAAAAATTGGTAGCGAAATCTATACAGATGAGTCAAATAGATTTTGTACATAATCAATTATCAAGCTAATCATCTTAACTTTCCAATTCTTTAATTGGGAGACCAAGCACACTGGCTAACACTTGGTGACTAAATACGCTTCTCAAACAACATATGATCTCTAGAACATGAACCCTTGAGCAATAACACTGATTGTTTGTTGGCTAGATGCATTGATTGTTACTCTGGCTAACCAAGTTTGTGATTCAAGATCACATCACGATGAACAGGTAAGTAAACCTTGACTAAATCAAATCAACCGAGCCCAGTATATCCCCACCCAGAGGTGGGCTGTGGAAGGGGTGTGATGTACGCAGACTTGACCCCTACCATGGAGATAGAGCGATTGTTCGTGAAGACCCCTGTCTTGCAAAAAAGTGTGAAAATGAAAGCTAACCTAAAAGGCTGAGTGAATAGAAGAAGAGGAAACTATGGCAAGGGAATAGTAAGTTGCGCCAAAGAAACATAAACAGATACAAAGAAACAGAATGCATGTAAGACAACGAGCCATCCCCTACTATAACTTAGGGCTCTGGTCGCTTATAAACCAGCTACCTACCATAAACCCCCCCCCCCAACCTACTACCTCTTGAGGGCCTACTTAGTCTAGTTGCATCCTACTGATAACAGCCCCTAGTCTGCTACCCTGATCTTGCATCTCTATGAACTCCAACCAAACATCATGTCCTACGAAATGCCTAAGGCTTCCATGTCTATCCTGAGAGAGATTCTAACTAGTATTTTGTGCCAAGAACTTGTTCCCAAGAAATGAGAATATGCTCTCTTGTCTGTGAAATGGGAATGGCTTACAATTTCATTCAGGGTAACTAAGTGCAGTCTCCGTTTCAAGTGAACCTGGATAAACAATAATCTCAATTGAATAGTGAAACAGATAGAGCAGTGCTCAGTTGCCTTCCCAAGTCCTATACAAGTTTACCAACATATGACATCCAACTTTGTTCTTTCAGTAATATCTCTATTTGACCACTAGCCACTGAGGTGCAAAATTGTGTGGAATAACATGCAACGCATATCATTCTTTAAGTAATCCTCTCCACATGAATATGCTTGCGTTTCAACATTTTGTTCAAGATCATTGCTATGCGGAAGAACAATAAATAATCTACGTTGTAACTACAAAAACAAAATTCAAGAGACATGTATTATTTTGTATTCAATAGCATTGGTAGCCCAGATTATACATATAGATCTCGATTAATTCCCCAAAAATCGAGAGACATGTGCATTATGCCACAGTACTTGCTATCATCAAACCTCACAATACACTTTTTTATACTCTTGAAGCAAATGAAGGGCGATGATCCATTAGTGTATATAATGTAACTACCATCATCTTTTTGATGTAATTACATGTACACACTCAACTCCACTTTAAGTGTCATCCTTGTATTCTTCTATCAAGTGCTTAATACCACTTCTCAAGAACAAAACTTTGATAAGTTAATATTCAACACATCTCGACATGCATCGTACAGGAGCATTGACTCGAATGAAGTCCTAAAACTATAAAAATGTGGAGCCAAAGTTTGATATATGGTAAGCTTTTTTAATTATAGATGTACGTATTTCTGGTAAATTGAAGTCAAGAAATACTAAAAACAGAAGGAAGCAAATGCATATACCCAAGCTAACTAAAGCTTGAACTCCAAAATCTGCAATCGTGACGGGTGTATGATCATTCTTTTCAAGAATCCTTCCATCACTGGTGAACAAAGATCGCTTCACCTGAAGCAAAAGAAATATCTGAAATCACTGAAATCTAATTACTACAGATTTCTAGGCTTTCCATGCTTGTTGAAAGAAACTTTGTATAGGAAACTAAGATTTGGCATTGCATATACCACAATCCATGACTTGAGTTATTATTCTGTCCAAGGGCAGAACTTGAATTTCACATAACTAGAACTGTTTCAAATAGCTTTACAAAATATTTTTTACATGTAGATATCAGGCACACAGCTCGGTATCACTTACATATCATAGAATTGCAAGATAGAAGGTGTAAGACCCGAATTTTAAAATCACATTCTCGTTAACTTACCCGAATTGTACCGTACTTATATACCGGTCGATAATTGTTAAAGGGTTAAAACCGTCAAATTACTAAACTTATTATAATTATAATATTATATAATATATATATATATATATATATAAGAAAAGGAAAAAAAATATATAAATAAGCAATGCAACCATCGCCTGCTTCTTCTGTTTCTTCGTTCATCTTCACCGCCTCTCATCTCTCTC